TAACAATACTATCATCATATTATGGAAGGTACAACTATCGTGCAACGAACGACAAGCGTATTTTATAAAAAACGAGCAACATCTCCCCTATAATCTTTACTTCTTCCCAATTCGACATAACACAAAAAAAACAACAATAACAACACATATACATCATTTTCAAACCTCATATCTATCACAAAATACCACCAAAATAGCCCAATATACCCCCATCACTTCATACACAAAACGACAACCATAATAGTGTCAAACAATCCAAAAATGTTATGATGAACGACCAGCCGACCATCCTGCCATTATTTGGTGTTTCTCCACTCCCTTTCTCCTCAAAAACTTCACAAAAATAGCAGCAAAATAGATAACCCAACAGCAACTTGAAATAGCCCACAAAACAGTCCACCACAAGTGTAAAACCCGAACTCACGGCTTTCGATCGCCGTCCCGTGAGTTCTTACAATTATTGAGTAAATTTCTCTACTTTTACAGCAGAAAAATGGAGAAAAAGGGGCAGTATACTTACCATATTTGGTTAATATCTCAGCTACTATCTTGATTCTTCAACCCTTTGGTTTTTCCTCCAACTAAAACTTGAAAAGAAGAGAAGATTCTTTAGAGTTTTGTGTTGACTTTTTGGGAGAATTTTGTTGGGGTGTACATCTGATTTTTTTCTCTATTATGAGTCTAATATCTGAAAGAAATTAGCCCTTAAAAGGGCTCTTTGGCCAACCTTGAAGCTTTTAATTGAGGCCTCTCCTTTTGGCAAGTAGGTGATGCACCTACTTGTCACCTACTAGTCTGTGCAGTCTCGCTAAAACGTGAATCTCCCAATTCCAATATCGTATCGACATACGATTTAATGAGTTAGAAAGTAGACTCATAGAGATTCAATTTGATGGGTGGAACACCCCATAAATCTATGTATATTTGGAGAAAATCGCAGTTACATTTGACCCAAAATTTCAGTAAAACCTATCAATGTAACTTGTGATGACTTTCAACGACTTTTGTTCCACAACTCACTTGACTTCAAAAATAACACGCGATTATCATATAAATAACATAACTCATAACATAACCTTCTTATGAAGTTAAGCACATTAGTCTCACCCCAAAAGTACATGTTATCACATTCCCAACTTGTCGACTTTCGACGAAACATTATTTTCTTCAATTCCTTAGCTTCTAAACCTTCCAACTCTCTTTGTACTTATTGTTCATGATTTTCAATATATGTAACATCTGAGGTAAGATGATAATTTACTTTATATACTTCCAAATATAATCTTTTTTTTGGTTTTACATCAATTGACTTAAGACGTACTCCTGCGTACGAAATCATAGGGTGTAATATTTTATCACAGAAGCGGCCTCACAGAAGCAAGGCAGTGGACCGTAGAAGCGGCTAGAAGGGAGCTAAGTTGGAGGCGCAGGTGCGAGGTTTGTGTCGCACCTTCAAGACAGCAAAGGCGGATCTCTATTCGCAGGTGTGACTCCACAGAAGCGAAGTCTGGTCCGCAGATGCGAAGGCAGGAGGGCTGAAGGGGGACCGCAAAAGTGGTATGTTTGGCCGTAGGTGCGATGAACGTTGGGCAGAGGGCTTGGCATTATGTGGGATTTTGGCCCATTTTCTTTCATTCTCTCTTGGATTTGGCGATTTTTGGAGAGCTTCAAGTGGATGTTTTCATTATCTATGGCAAGGTAATTTATTCCCACCTATTGTGAGTTATATACATGGATTCTATAAGGATTTAAACGTGGAATTTTTTGAAATTGTGGGATTTTGGTAGAAAACCTAGAATTTAATATTTTTGGAATTTCACCATGAAATTGGACATGGAAATTGGAATAAATTATATATTTGAGTTCGTGGTGTTATGGGTAAAGTTTATCTTCGGAAATTTTCAGAATCCGGGCATGTGGGCCCGAGAGTTGACTTTATTTACTTTTCGAGCGGAGTTAGGAATTGTTATAATTGATTTATTATGAGTGTTAGAGTATATTTGTATTGGTTTACACATTGTTTGACTAGTTTTGGAGCAACGAGCATTGGTTTGAGGTTTTAGAGAGGCTTTGGGGCCGATTATGGACTTCGGAGCAAGGTAAGTCTCCTGTCTAACTCTATGAGGGGGAAACTACCCCTAGGTGATGTATTTGATATGTGCTACTTGTTGCGGGGGCTACATACGCACGAGGTGACGAGGGTCCATACGTAGCTAGATTCATGTTATTGTCCGGGTAGACTTAGGTTCACACCATACTATAATTGTACTATAGAGGTTATCTTTGCTCATTTAATTCCTTTATTTTGCATTTACGACTTGAGACTAGACTTGCGTATAGTGATAGACTTGCTACTGTAGAGATTTGACGGGCTTCATGATTAGCCGCGGAATAATTGTAATCTCCTTAAGAATTTCTCTCGCGTTGTGCGTCTTCATCGAAAAGCTTCCTTAAAGTTCATAAATAACACGTTTATTCGTGAGCGGGGTCAAGGATCCGTTAAAGCTTCTTATTCTAATGGGATCGGGTTGTTCGCCTTGGCAGTGTAATAGATAAATTATGGTTCGTGTCATTGGACCCTCGACAATGTGCACATTTTTATGGGATTGGGCCATTTGCCTCGACAAGATTATGTACCACACTCTCATGGGAGCGGGCCATTCGTCTTGGAAATATAATAGATGTATCTATTGTTATGTACTAGATTATGATGGGATCAGACCGTACGCTTCGGCATTTCTATAAAATACTCCTATGGAATCGTTGTAATATTTGTCAAGAAGCTAGTGCATCTAGGAATTTTCCTGATTTGAATCATGACAATCTATCTGGTGAGGTCCATTAAATATATATTCTCTGGTTGAGGAGGTAACTGCTAATCAAGAGTTTGAGTTTGCGGTTAAGAGGAGGATTGTACCACGTATTTACACTTGTTTATTTTGTTTGTTTACTCTGCCCCATATCTATTTACTTATCTGTCTTATTGGACCACTAGTGAGTATCGATATTGACCCTCGTCACTACTTCTCTCGTGTTAGGTTAGATACTTACTGGGTACGCATTGATTTACGTACTCATGCTGCACTTGCTGCATTTATTGTGCAGGTATACATATATGTTTCTGGTGGACCTCTAGGTGTAGAGGCGCGGCTGTTGCGGGGACTTTTACGGTGAGTTGTACTTCCTTGTTACGATCTGCAACATAGAGAGTCTCAATCAGAGTTATTTATATTCCCCATCTAACTTATATTTCAGACAGATATTATATTATTATTGTACTCATTAATAGAAGCTCATGCACTTGTGATATTGCGTTTTAGAGATTCCTACTAGATATTTAGCATGATAGTTCACATAATTATTATCATTTCACCTGGTAAAATTCTATTTCACACTATTTAATTAATGAATATTATGATTTCAAAAGTAATAAAATGAGTAAATAAATTGATAAATCAATATTGGCTTGCTATTGTACTCATGATCCTGGGTTTAATGCAGAAGTGCGCTGCAACCATGGTTATATGCTACCGATAATTACTGCTTCGACCCCTCGGAATCCCGGTAGAAGATATTGGGTGTGTTCATACTATGGGATAAATTTAATTTTTGTAAATTAGTTGAAGCTTTCACTGATTGAGCTTTAATTAGTTCCTTGTGTTTCATCATTGTAGGGTCCAAGATCTTGTGATTTTTAGCGTTGGAGAGATACAAAAATTGATCCAAGATCGAAAGTTCTTATTCCTAAACTGGTGGAGAAAATTGGTGAACTTGAAAGTGCATTGGAAGTGTATGAAAGTGTTTAGAATCCTAGGGGAAAAATAAGTGGAAAGAAAGATAGAGATGCAATTAGAGAAGTTGGAGGGAGAGATTGAGAAGATGAAAGGAAGGAGAAGAAGTGGAGCATCAATTTGGTTAAGTCCGAGATTAGGGAGAAAGTACTTGGTTTTTGTGTTGTGTGTATGTGTAATAGCTATAAGCTATTGGTTTCGTCTAGTATATGTGAAGAATCATTCAATCAATTTGCCTTAGGATCTGTTGTGGCAGTAGTATCTTTAGGTGTTGCTTAACAAAATTGCAACATATTTTGTAAAAGTTTCGTGTAACTTTTGTTGTAATATAATGCATCTTGTTGATATAGTTTGTGTTGTGAAAATTGGCAATATTTTTGTTACAAATTCAGGCTTTATATTGACTTAGAAATTTGCAAACACTTCTGCATATTAGCAGCATAATTATGTAGAAAAAACAAATCAACAACTTTGCAGTCACTGTTGTATATTAGCAGCATATTTATGCAGAAAACAAATTAACAACTTTGCGGCAGACTTAAACAGAAAAATTGAAAAACTGACTAACAAAATTCCAGTTATTACTGCATATCATTTTCAGTAAACAGACATACAAATCTGCAGTAACTGTTGCATATTGCAGAAAAACAGACTTAAACATAAAAACACAAAAACTGACTTAACAAATTGTAGTTATTGCTGCATATCATTTCCAATAATAGACAAATAAATCAACAATCATTGCTGCACATAATACCATAGACTTAGAAACTTTCAGCCATTGCTGAATATAGTTACATACCAAAATAGAAATTCATATTGTCTTTACATAAACCAACTACCAAAAGGCAAACAAAAACACTGAAGTTCTAATATCTACTGGGCAATTGATTGTGGTGCTGATGGACTTGTTTGGCTCAAGCGAACTCTTTCAGATGCCTTTGAACTTGTCTCCATTCTTTTCTTAGCTTGAATATGTTGAAGATTCCTTGAGGTGATAACTTCTTTACCTTTCTATTTCACCCATGTTATTGGTTTGTATATAATATCTTCAGTCACTACTGTAGAGTTCATAGGCACAGTTGACATGCCAAGCTATATTCACAGGAACAAACTTAGTTAGGTTATATAAAAGTTTGATCAAAATGACTTCACAGTCATAGTTGACATTATATGCTTACATTATAGATAGAAGCTCCACTTTCTATTTGTAGAATTCTCATATCAATCATTCTTGGCCTTTTATACAGTGTCCCTCTTCCTATACCGGTAGCAATATCCTATAAAAAGTGCAAATTATTAAGAGGTTAAACATAAAACAGACCTACAAATATGCAGTCTATAGAAGTAACTTCAGAGTAATTACCTGTTTTGTTAAACCTCTTGGTCTTCGTCTTCCTCTTCCTCTTCCTCTTCCTGTTCCTATTTTTGGTACATTTTGAAATGAAGGTGTTGATGAAGAACCAACACTTGATGACTTTGCACCACCAGTTGATCTTGCAATACCTTGTGTAGCCTTGTGACAACCTTTCTTGTTATGGCCTTTGGCATGACAGTTATTGCAAGTCAGCTGTGTACCTCTTTTGGAAAGCTTTCCCTTTTTTGTTTTCAGTATGTTCCTTCCTTCTCACTTTCTTGGGCTTGCCAGGCATTACTCTTACTTCTGGTAGTATAACTAAAGGGTTTTGTGACTGTGGACACATCTCCATATTTTGAACATGCCAAAGAAAATGATTGTATGTTTTCATATAAGTCTCCCTATGGTACAATGTGAAATGTAGTTAACTGGCTCCAATTTCTTGAAATGGATAGCAGCTATAACATGAGCAAATGGTATACCCTTCAGCATCCAAGCTCTACAAGTGCAGGTTAGCATGTTCAGATTCACTATATGCTTACTGGTTTGTCCCTCCTTCACTTCATAACCATATTGACCATTCCAGTGCACCACACATTTCATTCATTTTGTTGTGTTCTCCTGCAACACCTTCAGTGCCATTGGAGAAATGTCACTGATCCAAGTATCACAGAAATCCCTTATTTGTGTTATTCTTATCATCATCTTCGCCCTAATCACTTCAAGCATTGTGATGAATGTCTTGTGCCTTGGCCCCACTATCCAAGAACTAAATGTTTCGGCCAAATTGTTGTCAATACTGTCACAATTGCTGAAATACTTGAAATACACCTTGCACCACCTCTCTTTGTTATAGTATAGCAGGTCCTCAATTATTTTATCTCCTAGTTTCTCCATGTGATCAAGATTTTTCTTTAACTCTTGTTTATAAGTTGACCTAGCACATCTCCAAAAATAGGTCCTCTTCTCAATGCCTCTCTATTTTTTGACCAGTTTGCTAGGATGTGCCTGGCACACATCCTATGTTCTGCTTGTGGGAGGACCTCACTGATTTCTTTGTCAAATCCCTACAGCATATAAAAAATAAATAGCTAAAATATAAACTGTTAAAAGAATAAACATGTTAACAGATTTGAACAATACATTTAACAGAATATAAGTTACCTTCTGCATTTCTGTAATAACAGTCAACTTTGTCCTATCTCCAAGCTCCAGATCATTCTTTAAAAGGTTCACAAACCATCTCCAATTATATGTGTTTTCAACTTCAACTACCGCCCAAGCCAATGACAACATCTGATTATTCCCATCCTTATAAACAGCCACAAGTAATTGCCCTTTACAAACACCTTTCAAAAAACAACCATCAAACCTTATACACCTCTACAACCATCAAGGTAGGCCTTCTTAAATGCATCAAAGCAGATAAAAAATGCTACAAACATTTTCCTTCCATTTTCAAGTGTTTCTTCACTAAGTCTCACAACACATGTACTGCCTGGATTAGTCCTTAGCAGCTCATCTCTGTAATCAAGAATCTGCCAAACTCCTTAACATGGTCTCCTATAATCTGTGTTAACACAATATTCTTAGTTTACCTTACAAGAGTCCTTCCAATATACACTTCTAACTCATTTTGAACTAACTCCTGAAACTTACAGATTCTAATATTTGGTTCAGAAATTATTTTGTCCTTGTATCTTTCTGCTAAGTACTTTGAGTTGCACAATTTGTTCTTGGTAGTACCATTGCACTTGTGAAGTGGATTATAGTTCTTCACCACAAAATCTTTTGTCTAGAATCATAACTAGCAAACAAGAGCCATGGACAGCCAGCACAACGCTTTACCCTCACCCTTGTTGGTTCATTAACATACTTATCTAACTCTACATGTTCATCAAATGCATACTTAGTAAGTGCTTCTCTAAACTGTCTAACACTCTCAAAAGAAAGTCCAGTTTCCCAAACAATGACCTTACAACTAGGATCAAAGATAACCCTATTTTGTTGCTTTCTTCTTGCTCTTACTGGCTGTTAGACTTCATCATAAACAGTTTATCAAGATCTGTTTCAAAACTAGCAGCTTCATCTGAGGGATAGTATGGCCCATCTCCAGCAATCTTACCCTCTAAAGATGTCTTCTTCCTAGCTGCATACTCATCATATCCTACATCTGGACCTTTTTTACCTAACTTGGCATGTCTAATTTGAACCTCTTTCTCTTTTTTCTTCCTTCTATGCACCTTTTTCCTCTCTTCTCTTAAATTTCTATACTTCTCATCAACATCACAACCATATTCTTCTTCCCCTTCCTCAAACACCTATTCAATTTCTGAATCTGTACTATGGTTACTACTTTCTACATCAGTTTCAACTAATGGAGTATCATCAAGATTAGAAGGACCACCCTCATCCCCACCAGGCACATTATCAGCAACAAGGACACTATTTTGTGGTTCTTCAAACCTTATACCTTCACTGTCCCTAACACTTTGATTTATCCCTTTATCAAAAGACATACTAGATTCCCCACACACTTGGCTTACATATTCAATAGCTGGATGGACTACTAATGCTTCATCAATAGAGTAGGACACATTGTCACGACCCGGATTTCCCACCCTCGGGAGTCACGATGGCGCCTACTCGTGGAAGCTAGGCATGCCGAATATTACAAAATCATTACCCTTTTTATTAAACATGTTCGACCATTTAAAATAATAAGTGATTAAATAGCGAAATAAATTAAATAACCGAAAATGCGGAAGACGAAAACATAATAATTCAACCAAATACTGCTACATAATTTGAAGTACAATACTACCCAGAATTTGGTGTCCCAAGCACGGACTGTCTAAGAATACTACAAATAAGGTCTGAATGAAATACATAAGTCTGTCTCTGAATAAATAAAAACAGAAAGAGAAAAGATAGGAGGAGACGCCAAGGCCCGCAGATGCCTGCAGGACTACATCGGGTCGCCTGAATGGACTGAAGACAGCACCCTCACTGCGGTCCTAACACTTCGGTATCAGTATCTGCACACAGTGCAGAGTGTAGTATTAGCACAACCAACCCCATGTGTTGGTAAGTGCCTAGCCTAACCTCGGCGAAGTAGTGACGAGGCTAGGACTAGACTACCAAATAAACCTGTGCAGTTAAATCATATACAACAAAAATAAAAACAGATAATTACAGCTAAAGTTGGGCGGGGGAAACATGCTGCGGGGAGTAACAGATAACAACAGAATAACAGTAGAAAAATGTAAGGAACGCCATAAATTAATTACCAACAAAAGATAAGGAAATAAGGAAAACAAGTACACATGTAATACCGTTGCAGGTGTGCAACCCGATCCTATTTCATATAGTACCGTTGCAGGCGTGCAACCCGCTCCCATTTCATATCTTACCGTTG